GTTCTGAAGCTTGTCCATTATCCCCTCCCCCAGGTCTGTAGCTTGTCAATTATCCCCTCCCCCAGGTCTGTAGCTTGTCAATTATCCCCTCCCCCAGTTGTGTAGGTTGTTAAGTATCCTCTCCCCCAGTTCTGTAGCTTGTCAATTACCCCCTCCCCCAGTTCTGTAGCTTGTCAATATCCCCTCCCCCAGTTCTGCAGGGGCTGTGAAAATGAGAATTGTAAAACAAACTGATAATCTGTGAGTAAAACACTCAAGCTACCTGTACATGGTACATACAACACATGTTTTACATGTAACTTTAGGCCAGTTCTTACTCCAGACAAGTGCAATTTCAAGCAAAGCGATGCTGTTACGAAACATTTGCATTGAAATTTGGTTGAGCTGAAATGTGCACCTTGGCAATTACATGTACATGCCCAGTGTGAACTGGTTAAATGGTCATACACTGAATAGCTTGTACTTTTGTTGGAAGTTGATATTTCAATACATTTTTTTGTAAACCAAAGGACTCTTGGCAACAGGAAAAGGCATACAAATTACTAGATCATTCATTAGCAGTTAAGGTTGTAGTTTGTTTATAGTGCACTTTAATACCCTGTATGCAATGACATGCATTGTAACTGTGCACACACATAGGCACCGTCGATATTGTATCTTGGCCGATACCAATATATCATTTTTTTTTTATTTTGATATTATTGATATGTCGAATTTTATTCACTTTTTCAAGGTAATATAACAGGCGTGAATTGTTGGTAAATTGTTGTAAGGTAGACCCCTACACTGTAACAGTCTGACCCCATTCACGTTGGCGACATGGGATGGGATACACGCTGCCGTGCATAGCAATATCATCAGCATGTGGTGCTAGTCTGTGTACGTTTGGTTAGCAAATAATTCTCTATTTTGGAGGATAAATTTTGAGATATTTTCGAGGCAAAGTGTACGCGAATTATTGAGGGCGAGACTGAGGTAGGTGACTAATTTATTCTTCAAATGTCGCCATATCAGCCGCCGGGAGTATAAGCCACAGGGACATTTTTCACTCAGCATGAGAACCAACGTAAGCCGCGGCTTATCGAAAATTATGGCAATGTGATGAAGCACTTTCCTATTTTTTAATAAAGTGCGTGCCTCACTAGCAATATTTTCGATGTATTTTTCAATATGGATGTTTTCAAAGTTTCATTATTTCTCCAAATCTGAAATTTTCGATATATTGATATTACCAAACAACTAACATCGGCGATATCAATATCAAACTCATATCGATAATTTCACTATATCGATATATAGTGCCTACACACACACACCTATTCAGTCTACACATGTGAAGTCTAAATTGAACAATAATTTCAGTTGGAACAAGTTCCTCTTTCCGGGCACAGCAGTTCAAATATGAAAACTACGTGCACCTCCCTACGTGTACTTTGTGGCACTCTAAATTTACATGTACCGGTAGACGTACTTGGCATTGGTGTTTTCAAAAACGATACAAATATATAAAAGGCATACTGCACAAAAGACTGTGAAAGGAGAAAAGGAAAGTTGTGAATTGTAAATTCTTTGGAGTTTTTCACCCATAGCGATGTGAGCAGTGCAGTCAGTGTTGTGTGCACGTACCTGCACATGTCATGCATATTTCAATAGTGCCAAGGGAAGCATTGCGCAAGACGCCATTTCCTGCCTGTTTTGCATTTGAAATTGAATATTTAAGCCAACTTTTTAAGCTTTAACGTAATTCTGGCATACCCTGTATATGATGTATTGTACATAGTCAGGTACTTAGATGTTCTGTACATATGTGATTTCAGTCAGGCACTTAGATTTGTTACTTGATATAAATTGATCGGGTTTTCTCTGGAAATTGCTCTGTGATTGACAACGTTGGAAAACCCATGCAGATTCTTTTTAAAGGGTGTCTTTGTTGTGTACAAATTTTATCACACTGGCAGGAATTCAATTTCCCTTTTCAAAGTCTCATTCTGGCAACTGTGCTGAAAGTCATGAGGTCACTGTCTTATTGTTCCTGCCAATTCCTCTTCTGACCAGAATTATTTTGAAATATAACTTTGTGTCAATGCTTTTACAGTAGGTCGGAACATTTTTCAAAAAAATAGCTAAATTGACCTTGAGTTTTCAAATAAAACTTCCTTTTGAGGTTCTCTTTAGTTTTAGTTAGAAGGTGGATTAAGTTTGCTTTCCCAAAATAATATGATACTGTTTCCTTTTTTTTTCATTCATGGTCTCATAAATTCTCATTCTTTTTCAAGATCCAGTGAATTATGTAAGGTGTTGCAAAATTGATGTGTAAAAAAAATTACGTGCCCTTATGAAAAAGAAAGATACAGGTTATCATACATACCCTGGTTGAGCTAATTTACACCTTCAAAAAGGGCTAAGACAGGATATAAACATACATTTTTGTGTAAGAATAAAACAAATTTAATATTTGTTTATTGCTTTCTGCAAGGGCTTGAAATATAAGAACAAAAAGCCCATTTTTTCACAGTATGAGAAACTCATGTGAGGGTAATTCCAGAAATTAGGGGTCCACTTTTTTCGTATCCCTGTCATATCTGACATGTGACTTTGTAAGTTCAGAACATATTTCTAACTTCTAACAGTGATGTATTAATTAATGCAAATTACCCGCCAAACAAATAGTAATGATTTAAGTCAATTCCGGTGATTTCGCCATGTCAAAGGAAGAAGGTCAGATGTAACAAAGGTCAGATGTAACAGGGACACAAAAATGTCACACTTTTGGATCCTTAATTTCTGGAATTGGCCGTTAAAGAAAACGTTTTTGAAATGGGATTCGGTTCATTGTTGTAAAAATGGAATGTTAAATCATTATTTGTGATTTTTTTTAAGTAAGCATGTTTGTCTTTAACATGTAGCGGGTACCAGTTACAAACAGTGTCTATTCAGTTTCAAATATGAGGATTTTATCAATGTTTGGGTGAATTGGTGTTGTAATTGTTGAGTTTTTTCTGAGTCTCCAAGGCAACGGAAAAATCACATAAAGTAAGAGGAATGAGATCTGAATACTCAGCCAGCGTTGACTGAGTTGCTGAAAGGGGAGGACTGTGCTTGAGCACACAGATGACATGGGTATGCTAAAAATACTCAATTATTTGAGAAACGACTTGTACTTCGGGTCCATGTCCTTTTGCCAAAACTTTTTTTTTAATTTCAGGTACCCTCAGGTTTTCAAGTTAGTAAAGTACATGTATGTAAATTTGTGTATTGACTTTGGATTTTAAGTTTGATTTAAGTTTTACTATTTTCCATATTTATGTTCTATGTAACTTCATTGTAAGTAAAATTTTTTTGCAGCGCTTTTTAAGTATAGTGGTTTTATAATAATTTAAATTTTTACTGATTATATTTTAATTGAGGACCTCAATGGAAAGCAGTGCCCTCATTAAAAACAGACTTAAATAAATAACATAAAAGCAACGAAATGAAAGATTGCAGAAGCACCATGTAGAATCTTTTTTGTGAGTAAGTAAGCTTCTGAAAAAAATTGATGGAGTCAGCATTTAGGAGAATACATGTACGGTGTTTACTCTGCTAATGACTGACAAAGCATTTAATTTCATTTACGTGTAGAATTCATAACCAAAAGAGCTACTCTTACCAAATAAACTGTCTAGTTTCTCAAGCTTAATTCTTGGTGTATCATCTTACATTGTGATGCATTTGCTGAGCTCTGAAACAGTTTTTCCCACAACACTGCTTCTGTTTCCAATATTTTCAGGTGCTGACAGCCCACCTGGGTGCCTCGTTGGGTTCAGAGAACAAAGGCAACATTGCCCACAAGGTTGGGGAGAAGTACCGCTGTGAGAGCGCCTTGGCCGTCTGCTTCAGCAACTACCTGGACTTCTTGGAGGAGCAGGGATTCCTCAACAACGACAAGGTGGACCTGGACAAGCTGGAGGAGACCCTGTGGGTGCTGTGCCTGAAGGATTACCAGAAACGTGACCCCCAGATGGTGGCCAACCCAGAGCTCAAGAAATTGTGGCGGCTCTTCAACTTCCTGGCTGAGCCCGACAGTTTCCCCGTGGCCATTGACCGGGAGGAGATGCAGCTGCTGACCGAGAAGCTTGTCATTGCCATGGGCATGAAGTGGGACCTGGCCCACTTCGACCACGTGACCAAGAACCTCAAGCTCTTCACCTTCACCAAGATGATGGTCTGCTTCGAGTCGGCCTTCGCCAAGGACATGGACCAGATGTGCATCGCTGAGGCCGTGATGGAGGTGTACGATGAGATCATTGAAGAAGTTGAGAAAAAGGTAAGGAACACGCTAAGTGTGTCTGCTCTGACCTCAAGTGAACCCTCACTGGTGAAGCAAAGAGACAGGCAGGAGGGAAATTTTTCAACCTGGCTCATGTACATGTCTGATGTGCATATGAAAACCATACATTCAAAGAGAAATTGGTTGTGCAAGCTCAGTGTGTCCCCTGCCAAACACGCATGAATGTGCGAGCACACATTGGTGAGTTTCTACCAAAGAACCGCTGCCGCTTTCCCCTGCTTTGAAAAAAAAATATCACTCCTTTTGAAATCCAAGGCAGGCATGACAGGTTTTCTTTTTCGGGATGCTGAAGGAAAAATTTGTATTTCATTAGTTACAAAGATAACGACAAGGTGCCTACTGTGTGTAAGTGGACAAGTTTACAACCCAAGGTTTGACATGGATACCCATATTTCCCCATTGACTCTAGTTTTCAACGTTCATATTTTGTGTTCAATAAAAGAGGACAAATGAACATGCCCAGTTTTGGCAGGTACCCACAAACATGTAGATTTCCCTTTGTTTTCTGTTTGGTTTGAAGGCAATATTGCCATCTTGCATACATGTACATGTATGTGTACCACGTGTACAGATGTATTTAGCAATATAACCAAATTGGGTGTGATTGTCGAGTTCAAAAACCTTCGTAGGCATGCTGCTGTCTGTCCTCTGTCACTTTATATTTGGAAATCTAGGTGAATCACCATTAGCTGATTGCGCTTCTGATCTGTGGGTAACCAACCATCCAAATGCAGCAACATAAAATACACCGTTACTTTGACCTTTATATTTCTGATTCATACAAGACTCACGGCAGTGCAGCTTCTTTGAGCAAACGTGAATCCTAAATGCTGATCAGTTGGCCCTGTGGCAAAACACAGCAGTGTGATACCCCATGGTATTAAGGTCTGGCTTGCACTAAATATCTTGAAAGCATGTAACCCCCATTTCAGACAAGCGTTTCAAATTAAACCAAACCAAATTAAGTCAAATTTTGAATAAAGTACAGCCAATGTTTGACGTCTGAAACAGTTCGGACCGACCAGGCATACTAGCAGGCAAGAGATCGACACTCGCAGAATGACTTGGCTTCAGACATCACTTTTTTCATGGGCCAAACCTAATGCGAATGTTTGTTTAAAGTTTGTCTATCTGTAAGCAAAATTTAATTGAGTCAACCCGAGTCACTCGCAATTCTACTTGGTTCAGTGCAATTCTATAACGCATTTCTGAAATAAGTGTAAACTCCATCACACACTACCATCTTTATTCAAGACCAAAATGTACACAACACATGCATGTCTATCTGATGCTCATTAGCGTGAATACTTGATCAAGTTGGCCTCAGAGTAAAGATTTATTTCTTGCTGCCTCAAGGTTGTGAACAGCATATTTTAGATGCTCATCTGTATGCCACATCTGTATGACACACAAACTCGTTTCGTAGTTGTGGGGACAAACATATTTTACCTATTCTGTGGAGAACAAAAACGTTGGGGCAGAGAAATATCCCAACAACTCGGCCCTAATTTGCCTGACAAAATAAATTGTTCCCTTAACCGGGTGAAAGCCAACACACTCAAGTGTGTATTTGCCTGCAACTGGGGACCCCCTATTGTTCCTCTTTTGTTTGTACTTGAACTTTTTTAGAAGACCACCCATATGTTTTGTACACAGTTGTCAATCGGGGACCCTCTGTCAATCGGGGACCTTATTGTCCTCTATTGTTTAAGGTCCCCAATTGAATGCAGAAACAAACT